TTTTTTTTTTTTTTTTTAAGAGGGTCTTGCTTTTGCTCAGGCTTGTCTTGAACACCTGAGCTCAGTGATATGATTTTTTGGAAAGATACCTTCCCAGGCAAAAGCCACAAATTCCTTCAATATGGAATAAGAATACAATTTACTACCCAAAGAGGAGTGCACAGAAAAATCCACTATTGATGTTTCTTTCTAATTGGGATGAGAATCCTCTCTATGAGAAGCTCTCTTTTCCATTCCCATTCCAAGGAGGTGCTAGGCGTTTACAGGTACTTGGTCTCTCCCAAGTATCTTTGAGAATCTGGCCATATACCTACCTCATCAACAAGTGCATGTAACTAGTAACAACCTCTACACATTCCTGATGCTTATTGCTAGAATGTACGAATCAGGAGTCATTTCACCAGATGTACCACCTTCCCTGCAGGCCTAGATTTTATTACACTTGCCTGAAGTCAATTCCTCTAGTCCAAGGTTTCTTAGCCTAGGCACTATTGGGATTTGGGGCCAGATAAGTCTTTGTTGTGAGGAGCTGTATTGTGAATTGTAGGATATTTATCTGGATCCTTGGCCTATGGCATCCTCAGCTCAACCCAGCATTGTTCATATATTCCCAGGGTGGGTGGGGAGAGCGGGCAATTTTGCTCTGATAGAGAACAGCTATTCTAGTCATAAGGCTATATAATTAAATATATACTTATATATTTTTATATTCTATGTATTTTAAATATATAAATACATAATATATTTTATATTCTATAAATATATATATTATATTCTATATTTTTTTTTTAATTTTTTTTTTTTTCCAGTTTTTGGTTGGGGCTGGGGTTGAACCCGCCACCTCTGGTATATGGGGCTGGTGCCCTACTCACTGAGCCACAGGTACCACCCTATATTCTATATTTTATATAAATACATATGATACACATATCTATATAAAATATAGACTATAAAATATTATATACATACATATGATATATATACATACATGTGTGTATATAGTATATATTTGTTGAAGGCCAAATAGCTATTAGGTGGTCAGAGGCTTACTGACCTTACATGTTGGTAAGCACTGAGGCACAGGGATGTGCTCATGCTTTGTTTTCCTTCGTCTGGCCCTACTCAGTAATGCCATTAGGGTCATTTTGAAATGGACAGAAAAATCTTTTTTTCTTTTCTTTTCAATAATGTAGAGTCTTTGGTTCCCAGACTCTTAATTTTGACCCAGAAACGATGACCTCTGTCACTTCTCTGATGGTTAATTCTATTCAGAGTGATGAAAATATTGTGTCCAACTATTTTGCTCTGTTTTATTCATATCAATCTCAGTGTATTCAGACATTGGGTCTGGACAAGCAATTCATACAAAGAAAGTAGTGTTGAGAGGACTTTTTGTATCCAAAAGAATAAGATTCATGCGTACATATTAATGTTGTATCTAGAAATTTTTGGCAGTCAAAGTTCACCTTAAATAATTTTTGCTTATTTAAACCAAAGCAAAATTCCCAACGGTATTTGTTTCCCAAAATAGATTTGAATATTTTAAAATATTTTGTGTTAGGGTTCAGAGTAAACAATTAACAGTAACAATACTCTATACAGTGAGTGGCAGTTTACCAAATGTAATCGCTTACATTGTCACATACAGTATTTGTAGTATTTGAAATTGTGGAATTATTTCATATTCTATGGACTTACTTGTACCAGAGTATGTTTTTTACAAATATTTTTAGTAAAGAAATATTTAATATGGGGTGGCGCCTATGGCTCAAAGGAGTAGGATGCTGGCCCCATATACCGGAGGTGGTGGTTTCAAACCCGGTCCCAACCAAAACCTGCAAAAAAAAAAGTATTTAATATGGTTTAATATTTTTGCAGTGTGTTGAAATTTGTTGCTGAATTACAAATTCCCTTGCTATAATGTAAACCAAAATCATAATTTTTATTTATTTATTTTTTTGTAGAGACAGTTTCACTTTATTGCTCTCAGTAAAGTGCTGTGGCATTACACAGCTCACAGTAACCTCCAACTCCTGGGCTTAGGCAATTCTCTTGCCTCAGCCTCCCGAGTAGCTGGGAATACAGGTGCCCGCCACAATGCCCAGCTATTGTTTTGTTGCAGTTTGGCCAGGTCCAGGTTTGAACCCACCACCCTCAGTATATGGGGCCAGTGCTCTACCCACAGAGCCACAGGCACTGCCCCCAAATCATAAATTTTTTAAAAACGTTCCAGAAATGTCTCATTGTCATCAGTGGAACTTGAGAAAGAGTCACTGATAGGATCAAAGTGTCAAGCCATTGACTTCGCTGGGCAGAGAACAAAAATGAGGCAATGTGAGCTGCAGTGTCAGACTATCTGTATTTGAATCCATTTTTTTTTTATTAAATCATAGCTATTTACATTAATACATTTATGGGGTACAATGTGCTGATTTTATATACAATTTGAAATACTTAAAAACAAACTGGTTAATATAGCTTTCACCACATGTTCTTAATTACTGTGTTAAGACATTTATACGCTACACTTAATAGATTTGACATGTACCCTTATAAAATTCACCATAGGCGTGGTCTCACTGATTGCCTTCCCACTCCTCTTTCCTCTTCATCTGGGGCTATAGTTGAGTCCACCTTTTGACCATCTAATGTCAAGTAACTTGGCCTTCAAAAGATTACTCAGCCTATCTCTTCTTACATTTGGGTTTTGTGAAGATTAAAGAGTTATTAAAAGTAAAACAGCACCAAGAATAGTACTCAGCAATATAGTATTAAACCCTTTATTGCTATTATTACATATAGGAATAGTTATAGGAAAGGCTTGGCCTATTAGAGACTCTACAGTATTTATTTTGCAGCTATTTTTTCACATGACTCCACTGTGCTCTCATGTCTTAGAAGGAACATGAAACATACTTTGCTTGTGATCATATGCATTAGATAGATATAACAATTCTTCATAAAGAAGAGTAACCAGGCTTCGGCACCTGTATTACAGTGGTTACAGCACCAGCCATATGCACTGAGGCTGGCAGTCTCTAACCCAGCCTGGGCCAGCTAAACAACAATGACAGCTGCAACAAAAAAAATAGCCAGGCGCTGTGGCAGGCACCTGTAGTCCCAGCTACTTGGGAGGCTGAGGCAAGAGAATCACTTAAGCCCAAGAGTTTGAGGTTGCTGTGAGCTGTGAT